GCAGAAACATAAAAATATTCCCTTTTTGCATACTGAACTATTAGAGAATATAAGAAACAATTTAGGTGATCACGATGGTTAATACAAGTACACCCTGCTTCTTACTAACGAAGCTATCACAGATAAGATGGCAGAGCTCATCAACTAATCCCCAACGGTCTCATATCCCACATTCCTCAGTGTGAGCATGACATCATGTTGAGTACGATCACAGAATTTAAGAAAAATTTTTGTCATTGTCATTCAATATAGCCCCTAACTGCAAACCAACAACTTCAACTAATGCTCAAGAATAATCTATTTTAACACTGCAGCTGAGCTGAACTTGTTGGTAAGTATTCTCCCTTTCTAAAGAATTCTCTTTTTCTTTTTAACTAATGTGTGATTTTAATTTTATACACTGACTGTAGAACTTAACCTCTTCATTTGTTCAAAACAAGTAACAAAATGGCTTAGCTTTTAATCTGGTCTATGACTTCAATTGATGGATGCCCACATGAAACAATTTTACCTGAGGTCAATTAAAAAATTATTGTTTCATTATTATATTTAACATAAATTATTGTATCATTTTTTATAATTGTTATAAAATTATAGAAGCAGCAAGCATAGTCTTATTCCATTTCTGAAATGAGAGAAGGTAAATTGTTCTCAGAATTTTTAGTCATATTGTTTTGTAAAGTTATTCAGCACCCTAAAAGCCCTAGTGACATAATGGTTAAAGTACACAGCCTCTAACCAAAATGTCAGCGGTTCAAACCTACTAGCTCTTGTGAAAAAGAAAGATGAAACAGTTGGCTTTTTGAAAGATTAGGGCCTCAGAAACAGTATGGGACAGTTCTAGACTGTCCTTTTGGGTCCCCATGAGTCTCTGGAACAACTTAGCAAGGGGCCTATGTGTTGAGCACACAACGGGAGGTATGACAAGGTACAGCTCTTCTAGTCCATATACCTAACACTCTAAAGTACAACAAATGTAAAAACAATTAACTTCAAAGCCTGTAGCCAGTTCAATGTAGCATAAAACTGGAGAGTTGAGTCACCAACTCCCTAAGCTCCTATAAAGACGAAGAGACTCATGAGAGGAGACTCAACATTTCCTTCCAGCTTTATGTCAAGTATCCCATTATCATAGTGTTTTCAGGCAACCAACCAGTTTACTACTCCTCACAAGAGACTTGGTGACACAAAAGAACACAGTGGAAAGAGAGGGATATAAAGCAGAATTTTTGACCTCTGAGATTGTACCGATGTACACAAACTATTTGGGGGCTCATCTAGATAAAAAAAAACAAAACAACAAAGAAACCACCACTACCAATTAAGTTACTCTGGTAAGATTTCAGAGAATTTTTTTTTTTAAAGTAACCAGTGAATAACGATAATGACTTCCATGTTGTTGTTGTTGTTATGTGCCATCGAGTCACCTGCGACTCATAGCGACCCTATGTACAACAGCCCTAAACTCCGCTCTGTCCTGTGCCAATCGCACTGTCTCTGACACTCCCATCCCAATTATCCCAGTCACTGAATCAATCCACCTCACAGAGGGCCTTCCTCTCCTGCGCCGTCCCTCCACCCTCCCAAGCATGATGTCCCTCTCTAAGGACTGGTCTCTCCTCACAACATGTCCAAAGTAAGTTAGACAGAGCCTCAGAATCCTTGCCTCCAAGGAGCCACCCGGTTTAACCCTTTCCAGGACAAATCTGTTTGTTTTCCTAGCAGTCCATGGTATTCTCAATACTCTTCCTCCAGCACCACAGCTCAAAGGCATCAATTCTCCTATCCTCCTTGGTCATTGTCCAACTCTCTGATGCAGAACAGGTGATTGCGAAGACCATGGCCTGTATCAGATGCACCTTAGTCTCCAGAGAGACACCACTGCTCTTCAGCACTTTGGAGAGGTCCCTAACAGCAGACTTTCCCATGGCAATGTGCCTTTTAATTTCCTGGCTACTGGTGCCAAGACTGTTGACTATGGAGCCAAGCAAACTAAAGCTGTGTACAATCTCAATCTCTTCACCATCCATCCTGATGCTGCCAATTGGTCCAGTGGTGAGAATCTTCGTCTTCTTGACATTGAGCCTCAATCCATATTGGAGGCTGCAGTCAGTCTTTGACACTCTGCAGCAGGTGCTTCAGGTCGTCCTCAGTTTCAGCAAGCAGGGTTGTGTCATCCGCATAAGACAGATTGTTGATAAATCGTCCACCAATCTTGACCCCACATTTCTCCTCATAGAGCCCAGCCTCCCGGATAATCTGTTCTGCTTATATTTTGAAGAGGTATGGAGATAGGATGCATCCCTGGCATACGCCCTTCCCAATTTTGAACCATGCAGTGTTCCCTTGCTCTGTTCTGACGACTGCCTCCTGGTCCAAGTATAAGTTTCGCATTAGAACGATCAAGTGTTCTGGGATTCCCATTCTTCTCAGAGTCAGCCACAGTTTGTTATGACCTACACAGTCAAATGCCTTTGCATAGTCAATGAAACACAGATAAGACATTCCTCTGGTATTCCCTGCTTTCAGCCAAGATCCATCTAATATCAGCTACAATATCTCTAGTACCACGACCCCTTCTGAAACCAGCCTGGACTTCTGGTAGTTCTCTGTTGATGTGCTGTTCCAGTCGTTTTTGGATGATTTTCAGTAAAATCTTGCTTGCATGTGAAATCAGTGAAATTGTTCTGTAGTTTCCACATTTGGTTGGGTCGCCTTTCTTTGGGATAGGAACAAATATCGATCTCTTCCAGTCAGTTGGCCAAGTGGTCGTTCTCCAGATTTCTTGGCACAACTTGGTGAGCACGTCCAGGGCAGCATCTTCCATAGCATATTTAAAAATCAATACTAACTAAAAAGCAATTGTAGATGTGTATCTGTGCAAAGCATATGTAATTTATTAGCATTTTTCCTTTTTTAAGAAGCCTGCAAACTGTGATACGTAACTACTCCAGAACTTAATGAGTCATAAGAAAATTATGAGGTTCTTTAATTCATAGTAGAAACACTGATTTTAAAGAAGTATATTTTAATGTTACCTTTTCTTACTAGAAAGAGTTACACTTTTTTTACTAATGTATAGCATGAAATCACTACTGAAACATCTGGTTATATATTATTCATTAGATATATAACACCTTTACTCCAAAGACTGAACATAAATAGAAATAATGAATAAATCAGATCAAAGAAATAGACTTGACAAAACACTCTGAAAGTCAGTAACAGTCAAATGAAATTCTTAGGCTATTTGCTGACGTAGTGTCTCTTATACACTCTTAGGTAGCAGGCTGAAAGATGCTTCACACAAGAGAAAAATTAAAAACTCCAGGATTCTGAATGCCTGCACTGTCTACAACATTATGTTAGAGATGCTATTTTTGGATTTTTCAATGTAGCACACTGAAGATAGCATACTTTAAAAATACTCAAGGTTGACTGACAAGCAGCTTTACTCATCAATTGTTCATTTCACTCTCACAGCTACTATAATTAACCTCAGACATGGATTCCATAAAGGTATGTCAGGCGAATTAAGTCCTCTGAAAAACTGTAGGGCCATACTTGCGTGCTAACCCAAGGAAAATGGAGCCTCACACAGCTACCCACTACCTTACTAAAAAGTACGGTGGAGTGTATAATCAAGATTTTAAAAGTTACCTGTTGACTGACACAAGAAAGAATTTCAAGGTGAAAAGGAAAACAAAAAAAACCTCAGTCATACTGCTGTCAACTTTTTGTATTAAAGGGTCAAATTTTAAAGACTCAGTATCTAACAGCCTATTTGAAACTACATTTTATTGCAAAGAAAGTAGATCTGCCAATTACTATTCTGGCTGATGGTCATGGAACTACCAAGGGATTATGTAATACAAATCACACACAGATTAAGCAAAATTAAGTTGAAAACACTGAGGTCAACCTTCGCTTGACTTTTTTTTAAAATAACATATTACAAATGCTGAATGCAAAACCTACTCTTTCCACAACAAATTTCTTTTTCCACATCCAAAGAAATCTGACATTTTCAAATCATTCTACAAACTGAAATCACTAACTTTTGATAACCATGCGATATGAATCCCAAAGGAGCGTCAAGATGAGCTTGGCTTATTGGGTAGACGTTCTCAAAGTTTCAAGGAGCGATTTTTACTAAAAGCGTCTTCTTTGGGAGCAGGAAGACAACTTAAGTAGAACGCAATGACGGTGACAACTAAGGTGAAAGCCATACGGCGACAACGGGTATCTTTAGACCTCAGAACAGACCACAGGGTTCAAAACGCAAGGCGACCATCGGAAACAAAACCAAGATACCCCCTCCCCCCATCACCCCTTAGGGGCAACCTCGCAACGTTGGAAAGCGCAGGCAGTCACTACCTAGCAGCAGTACTACCTAGTACTTGAGGAATGCTTCAGCCAGGAGGGGTCTCCCCGCAGCCTGCAAGGAACCCCGCGGCAGAGGAGTGGGTCTACTCGCAAACCCCGACTTATGTCTCCCGCGGGAGAAGGGAGGTTATTTGCACAAAGCGTCTTTACCCCACACCCGCGGTGCAGAAAAAGACACACACCCCGCGCTCCGATGGGAAAGCAGGGGAGAACACCCGTAATCCACGACGTTCGTCTCCGGACTGGAGACGCAAAGGGGCAGAACCCACTGCAGCTCCGGCCTCCGCGCCGACGAGCAGGCGGGCGAGGGGGTCGCAGAGAAGGAAAATGTTCTCTGCGCTTCGCCCACCGGGTTGTCCAGTAACCAGACTCAGCCGCCCTGTGCTCCACCCCCGAAGAAGAAAAGGAAACAATGAGAAGCCGCTTCCCTCAACGAGAGAGCAACCGGGGGCAGCGGCGCCATCTCCACTCACACCCCCGCGGACACACACCCCATCGGCCAACCCCCGCTCCCCCCGCGGGCCACGGGGCCGCCGGCCACAAACCGACCGAAGAGACGCCCGTGCCCGGCCCGTAGTCCCCGCGTCCTTCGCCTCTTCGCCGACTCCACTCACCGGCTCCTGCCCCAGCCCGGGGCTCCGCTGGCCGCGGCCGGAGTGAGAGTCGAGTATAAGCCGCCGCGGCCGCCGGCGCCGCCGCACAATATGGCGAGCCTCAGCTTCCGCAATGGAGCTCGGGAAATACAACAGGGGCCGCTCAATATTCATGAGAGACCGAGGGGAAGCCGGCTCGGCCGGCGCTGCGGGGAGGGCGGGAAGGAGCGAGCAAGGGGGCGGGGGCGCGGGACAGGGACGTGCACGGCGCGGGGAGGCCCGCGGCGCGAAGGGAGGGGGAGTCGCCGCGTGCTGGCCCGGAGAGCCCGACACACCGCCCCGCCCCGAGCCTGCCGGTCCCGCCCCCAGCGCCCACCTCGGGGCAGACGCAGTCCCGGGGCAACGCCCGGATGACGCCGCCTCAGCTCGTAGTTTTCATCTTTTTCAAGCCTGCCACTCTTCTCTGCTCCTGCCATGACCCACCTATTGTGTCCCCCGACCTCTGCTGGGTTTTGAGTTCAGACTTCTGCTCTCCGGTGACTTCCTTCTCCTTCACCACCCGTCCCATCCTTAAAAGTCTTCAGTAGGTTTTCACCTACACAACTTCCGAACTTTGTCACACTGCTATCCCCCTATGCGGGCGCGCGCGCACACACACACACACACACACACACACACACACACACTCGCGCGCGCGCGCGCAGCAGACACACGCACTTTGCATTCTGGCAAAGTAAATCTGTAAGCTCTAATGACTCCTGGAGAAAATGACCTTAAATTCTAGAAGAAAAGTGTTGGACGTTCTGGTTGTTATCAATAGCTCTTAACAATATATCTTGCTGCTTTATTCCTATCTCCTTGACCCCTTATAGGGAACTCGAGTGGTGAATTGCTCTGCTTACTCCAAGGTTTCATGTTTCTATCACGTCTCTATTCATGTCAAATCCACCAGATGCTCGCCAGAGAAAAATGGATAGTCTCCTCTCATGTCATTTAGAGCCGTGGGAACCTACTCGATGACGGCAGTAAAATAGATGTAATTATAGATTAAATAGAATAAATCACTACCTAACATACAACCAGGTAGTATGCAAGTAATTAAGCAGTGCTTACAACAATATATAAAATAAGGTGTGGGCGGAATAAATAAGTAGTCAGAGTTTCCTGATCTTAAGATAAACTATTGATGAGTTTTGTCCCTTGAAATCTTAACCAACTAGTAAATCCATTACCATGGAGTAGATTCCAATACATAGCGACTCTATAAGACAGAGAAAACGTCCACAGAGAGTTTCTAAAACTGTAATCTTTATGGAGAAAGAAGTACCAGTGACTTAAGAGTGCTACACTGCTAACCAAAATGCCTAGTGATTCAATCCATCAGAAAACTGATGGAAGGACACCATGAGTCAGAACGAGGGTTTTGTTTAGGGGGTTTGTTTCTTCTTTTTAATTTTTATAGAATTGTAAGCCACACCCTTCTCCTGATGATCAGCTGATGTGTTTCAAACTCCAGCCTTTGGGGTAACAACAGTTTACTAAACCGGGGTGCTAAAATGCAACTTGTGACATGGAGAAATAGACACTGCTTTAGGAACTCGACTAACTAGATTTATCATCTGCAATTGATAACTAGGTGACTTAACCCCTCTAGACTAATTTTCTTCATTTGCAAATGATTCATAGGTCCTTTTCAGGTCTTCAATTCTATAATAAACTCTGTACAAGTAATGCAGGATTGGAAGGAGACTCATCAATTATCTGCATTATGCAGATAACACAACCTTTGTTGAAAGTGAGGAAGACTTTGAAGAACTTGTTGCAGAAGATCAAAGATTTCATTTTTCAGTACGGATTGTGTCAGAATTTCAAGAAAACAAAGATTTTTACCACCTGACCTATAGGCAACGTCATAATGGATGGAAAGAAGATTGAAATTGTCAACAGCTTCATCTTGCTTGGATCCACAAGCAGTCAGGAAATAAGGAGATGCATTGCACTGGAAAAATCTGTAGTTAGGGACCTCTCCAAATTATTGAGGAGTATTGATGTCAGTTTGAGAACTAAGATGAGTCTGACTCACGCCATGGTCTTTCCTTACTTGCTACATATCTTAGAGCTGGACAATGACTAAGGATGACAGAAAAAGAATTGACACCTTTGAACTATGATGTTGGAGAAGAGCACTGAACATCCCATGGACCACGAAGAGAACAGACAGATACATCTTGGAGATGGTACAGTCAGAGTGTTCTTTGGAGGCAAGAATGATGAGGCTTCAGCTCACATACTTTGGGCATGTTGCTGAAAGGGGCTTTTCCTTGGAGAAGGACATGATGCTGGGAAAGGTGGAGAGTCGGCGCAGGAGAGGAAGACCCTCACCCAAGTGGATTGACATGGTGACTGCTGCAGTGGGCTCTGTGTGTCAGGGTGTGTTCAGATGGCACAGGATAGAACAGAGTTAGGATATTTTGTTCATAGGGTCACTACAAGTCATATTCAACTTAACGGTACCTAACAACACAAGTAATGGTAAATAAATGATATTTACATAGAATTTTGAAAATGACAAAGATCAATTCCATCTGATGTGTTCAGGAATGATTTATGGGGGAGGTAGAATATGAATTATATTTTGACTGTTAGTTTTGGATAGGTGGGAAGAAAGAGGACAGGCATTAAAATATTAAAGACAGCACACTATGCCTACTATCTAACAGTACATCAAAATAAACAAGAGCAAAGCATTATCTTTTTTCAGTGATTTGAAAAGTGTGACCTACTAGCTATACCTTTAAATAAGAAGTGACAAATTTCTGACTTTACAAGCCTGTCAAGGTTAAGCTTTTCCTCCAGTTTAGGGGATAGAGGGAACAAATCAACTTTGCCCTTCTTGTCAGAATTCACTTTCTAGAAACTATGGTTGTAGAAATATCTCTTTCATAACTGCATGTGTAGTTCACTTAAAGAAGATAACCCATAACAAAACAAAATTCACCATCACCAAGTGGATTACAACTAGTGACATTCCATCAGTTTCCAAAGTTGTAAATCTTAATGGGAGCACCCTCTGAGGTTCATGTCCAATAATCTTCAGAGCAATTTACCTTTAGGTTAATAGCCTAGCACCTAAAAACTCTGTCACCATGACTCTTAAAGTAGATAGAATGTTTATAATTTACAACCTTTCTTTATCTCTTCAAGTTCTATTTATGATGTCGCTATTGAAAATGTGCACAACAACAATGAAAATCTTTTAAGAGGAAAGAGATCTAAGGGGCTGGTAGGGAGGAAAATGTGCCACAATGAATTATAGAAATCCAAGTTCTTGGTAAACTTTCATTAAATTATCAATTACAATTTTTTTAATATATACACAACAAAATACACCAATTCAAGTTTCTATGGGTACTATCTCTTTCAATTGTACAACCATTCTTCCATCTCATTTTCTGAACAGTTCTTTGCTCCTTCACATAAACTCATTGCCCTCTAAGGTTTCTACCTAAACTTTTCTCATCCTGAAATCGTTTCAATCCTGTATGTTATTGCTGGTTTTAGGTACCATCAAGTATATATAGCCAGTTCTTAAAAGAATATATTGAGCAGTATAAGACACCCTCCCCCTTTTTTTTTCTGTTTCAGCCAAACTCATTCAATTTTAAGATGACATCAGGGAGTTTCTTTCCTTTAATGTTTAAAGATTATCTCAGGGCAATAGTTTCAGGGATTCATCCATTTTCCATAGTTTCATAAAGTCTATACAATTCACATGACTTTAGAATTGTAGTGTGTCTTTTGTTGTGCAGTATTGCTGGGTTGGAAACAACTCATCACTGACCCTCCAGCAGTTTTTCAGAGGCAGTAAATCACATGAAAGTAGATTCCCCATCTTTCACAAACGGAGCAGCTGGTGGATTCGAACTGCATGTCTTTGAGTTGGCAGCACAACTCCTTACACATAAGCCACCAGACCTCTCCAGTTTAGATAAGGATTAGTCTCTGGAATCTTTGATCAGTGTGTTCAGTATCAGTTGTTGACGGCTGTGTTATTGTTGGTTGTTGGGTTTCACTATAATTCATAGCAACCCTACAAACAATATATCTGGACCCTGTGCTATCAATAGATCTGGACCCTGTGCTATACTGTGCCATCCTCATCATCCCTGGCTCACTGAGCACAAGTCACTATATCAATCTGTCTCATTGATGATGATGTCCCTTCCAAGGAACAGCCTCCCCTACCAACATGTCCAAAGTGTGTGAAACAAAGCTTCACCATCCTTGTTTCCAAGAAGCATTCTGTCTGCACTTTTCCCAAAACATATTTGTTAGTTCTTTTGGCAGTCTCTCAGGTATTCAGTACTCTCTCCAGCACTTTAACTCAAAAGCATCAATTCATCTGTCATTCTTATTCATTGCCCAGCTCTCAGATTCATAGCGAGTGATGGAAATGGCCATGCCCTGAATCAAGCACACTTAAGTCTTCAAACTTACATCATTTTGCGGAAATTTGGAAAGGACCCTGAGAGTAGATTTGCCAAGTGCAATGTCTCCTGATCTACTGGTACCAAGGTTGTTTCCAAGTAGGAAACAGCCTTTGACAGTTTCAATCTTTTCTCCATTTATCATATTGTTCATTAGTCCAGTGGTGAGGACATTTGTTTACTTGATGTTGAGATGCAATCCACATTGAAGGCTGTAGTCCTTGATATTCTGCAGCAAATGCTTCAAGTTCTCTTAACTGTCAGCAAGCAAGATTGTATCATCTGCGTTACAGAAGTTGTTGGTGAGTCTTTCTCCCATTCTGATGTCACATTTTACTTCGTATAGTCCTAACTACTCAAATTATTTGCTTTACTTACAGATTGAGTTTTGGTTTTAGGTGTCATCGAGCTGAGTAGAACTCATGATGATCTTATGAACAACAGATCAGAATCCTATCCTGTCCTGTGCCATCTTCATAATCTCTGGCACACTTGAGCCTATTGCTGCAGTCACTATGTTAATCCGTCTCTTTGAGGATTTTCCTCTCATACTCTCCTAACATTATGACCAAAGTACGTGAGATGAAGCTTTGCCATAATGAGTTGTTGATTAGTCTTCCTCCTATCCTGATGCCATGTTCTTCTTCATAGAGTCCAGTTTTTCAAATAATTAGCTCAGCATACAAATTTAATAGGTATGGAGAAAGGACAAAACCTTGATGCACACCTTCTCTAATTTTAAACAGTGGTCCCTTGATCTGT